CTTTTTTTAAACCAGACTATCAAAAACCCCACATAACGAGGTAAGCTGTTATTGCAGAGAAGATTTGTGCTCAAACATCATACTGTCTGGAAGACATGAACAATATTTGCCTGATGACAAAAGGAGAAGTATAGAGCACTGAAACCTGAAAGAACATTCCTACATTTCAAGTAAAATAAGAAAAAGCTTGAAATATATATGAATTATTATTTTCTACACTTTAAGGAATTATAAAACAAGGGTTAAATTAGTGTTTGCAGGGTTGTTTAAATTTTACTGAGATGAGAAATGTCCATGAGAAATGAAGTATTGCCAAGTCTTCACAAGGGCGGACCTTTTCCAGAAGAATTATTACAAGGCTGCTACAAATTCCATATAGGACACATAATCAAGTGTTCTGCTTAACATCATAATTGCACCGAGCGCTGTGGTGTGATGTTATAGTGGTGCACTGCACTGCGATGTTACAGAAAGTGTGACTTCCCCCAGGCAGCTTCTGACAGTGAACAAAGATCTCAAGGTGCAAAGGGCTGAAAATGAAAGTGGGGTATTTATTAGGATGGCAGGCACACTTCTGATTCGGAGACTGACATGAGAAAAGGGCAGAAACAAGGAGAGAAGAAATCCCTGAGGGGATTTTGAAAAGGTGGCATCACTGATCTCGCAGCACTTGAGGTCCTAGGTTTATCAGTGCTGTTTGTAATGGTTGAACACTCAGTATTGCTTGGGGTTGAGTCCAAATTAAAGGGGGTTGCCTCTTGGTAAAAGCAGCACGTTTATTATCCCTCAAACACCATTTGCAGTGAAGGATTTACCCTTTGCCCCTCATTTTCCTCTTCAAGGAGAAGGAGTCTCATGCAGGGCTGTGGTAAGCAGTGTAGAGCTGTTAGGTGCGGCTTTGCTAGACTGCATAAGATAAGACTGTGTAAGATAAGACTAGACCTGGCAGCTTCCAAGGCTCTGAACCTCTCTGTCCCAGTGATGAGTGCCATATCAGTTGTGGGAAGGGGCTACCTTCTCCTTAGGTAACACAATTCCTGTTGAAGGCTTGTACCGCCACTGACAGTACTTTTTCAGATTACCTTGGCATTCAGGAAAATACATTCTTCTGCTGATCCTGTCTACCTAATTGCATTTTTGAAAAGTGCTTTCTGGTTCAGCATTTGGATGAACTAATTTTATTTTTTTTTCCTTTATTGGTACTCTTAAGAAGACCGCCAGGTGGGCCAGGGTAGCTTTGCTCTTTGAACCATCCATGAATATTTCAGAAGAGCACTAAAACTTGCTCCTAGCACACAGGTTTTGCAATAAAACAGTTATTAAAATTGTTAAAATTCTTAATAATTTATTTTAACTACTTATTTTTTTCTGGCAGGTCCTTAAGAGGAAGGGAAAGGGCGAAAATGTGAAACAGAAAATAGCAAGTTAAAATTAATCAAATAATTTTCCTGACAAGTTTACAGTAACAAACTGTTACTATACGATGCTTTGTCTCAGCAGTCATGCTGGAGAATTCCTCTGCACACAGAGTACAGTACAGCTTCTCCTTATTAGATCATCTTAAGGAGATGTCCACATTATTTGGTCTCTGGAGACCACTTGGTATTTGCAGAATTACTTTAAATACATTAAATATGGATACTTTGAATTAAGCTGTTTTAAAACAGTCCTTTGAGGAACTGCTGCAAGATCAGCAATTAAAAGTAAAATAAGGGTTAAACCATACCTATTCCACCTCCTCCTTGGCTGCTGCCCACCTTCACTCCCAGAGTAGTCCTTGGCCTCAGTTTTCCATTCAGCCTGAAGTGAAGCTGAGATGTGCTGACTCCGTGGTGTTGCTGTGCTGTGGATGGGGTGAGGTGTGGGTGGCGTGTTCTCCTGTCTGGCATAGCTGGGCTTTAATTTCCTGCAGAGTTGGAGTCTTGCTAAGAAAAAAAAAAAAACAATTTCTGGGGAAAACGGAACAGGTGCTTGTTTCACTTCCCCATTGCTGCTGTGTTCATCAGAGATAACTTCGTTAAACTTCGTTATTTGGTTACCTATATATTCCGGTTCATATGGAGGCAAACATGTGCCACCACTAAAAGTCCCACAGAGAAAAAGCTACTGGACTGTTCCACTTCATATTTGTGGCTCGCTCAATATTTACTGATTGTTAGCAACAGAGCCAGCTCGTGCCCTGCCAAAGTTACCCATCAGATAACCCAGCAGAGCTTTAACAGGGCAATTATTTCACTTCTTTGCAGGAAGAAAGGAATACAGTCTGGCAGAATACTTCTGTCTGGCAGTTCTTTAGCAAGCTTCCTTTAATTTTTTTGTGCTGAGGCTACAGACAACAGTGGTGTGCGATGCTTCAGAAACCTTTTCTTGTTCCTTTCCTCCCTAAGTTTCCACTTAAAGACTTGGCTTTAAGTGTTTTCTTGTTTCTTTCCTTCCTAAGTCTGTCTTTAGAGGTTAGGCTTTCAGTGGAGGTAGTATTTAGGGAAAAGGCTACCAGTTTTAAACAGTTTTTCTGAGGTTCAGGGATAACGAATTTGTCCATCCTGATTCTTCAGCGGTTCTTGGGGTATACTTTCTTCTGAAGGCTATCCCAGGCATGGTAAGCTGCTTATTGCTGTGGTTTTTTACTGTGGATGATACAGTGGTCCAACACGCTTAACAGACTGTAGCAATTAAGATTTAATTTGAAGTCAATAAAAGGTATGGTTTTCTGTCTATGTGATAAGGGTATTCTTACAGAATTTCATACATTTTTATAAGCAATTTATTTACTGTGTATTTTATGTATAAATTTGACTGTCATCTTTCAGCAACAAAATTGTATTACAAAAAAGCACAAATGAGCCTTCCTTTGAAGCGCATTTCTAGACTTGTGTTAATTTAGACTTCAAGTGTGATTTTTAAAACTGACCCCTCAAACTTTTTATTTATCCTCACATTGCTTATTTCAGTTTAGCTTGAATCAGCAAGGAATTAAATCCAAAGAAGAGTATACACAGAGAAGGTTGAATAGACTTAAGTAAGCAAGTTTTAGTGAACTCTGTTATATTGAATGAAGGCTCCTTTTTGCTTAAAAAATGCTTAAAAATTACTTTGAGTCACTTCCCTACATTATATCTTGTAACCTGAGTGATGTGTTAAATTAAAGCAAAATCAAAGGTTACAGCATGAGAGCAGTCATATGCTGCAGCAACGTACATCTTGAGGAGTGAAGGGTTTACAAACAGATTTCTCTCAGGGAAGAAAAGCAATTGACATCTAATTAGTGTTAAAGCATATTCCTAAAGCTCAATGACTTGAGAGCAAATTGCAGTTGTCATTGTGGATTTGTGAAGTGTGCTGAACGATGATGCGTTCCTTCGGAGAGAAGTTGCTCAGACATGAAAGTATAGAACAAGCACAGCAAGTATGAGTTCTCCATGTTTCTGTAATACTGGTGCTTCAATAAAACAAATTTGTAAAGTAACCATGAGGTCAATTGGAT